CATTTGATGTGTTAACGATACTAATTGTTTCTTCAACATCATCATCACCATGGCCATCATAATCATAGCCATAAGCATCATCATCGTCTTCATCGTCATAATCATCATAAGCATCTATATTGTCATCATACTCACTACAGTACTCATCATCATCATCATCATCACCATCACAAGCAACTGGTGGAACTAAAACGTCGTCGTCAAGCGGGACAAGCTGCAGCCTAAGACGGCCGTTGGATCTGTGTGCCCTAAAGTACTCATGGTGCCTCACCTTCTCCTCAATCAGAATCAACCGTCCGTCGGTCGTGTAATGCCTCTTCAAAATCCAAGGCATGTGAGAAGGAAGATTCTCCGTTCTGGCCAGCGACGGGATGGGAGGTGGAACCTCCATATAGTCTTTCATCTTCATCTTCTTGGGTGCCCACCTTAACGATCTTTCCTCTCTCTTGCTAAAACGGTTAGGTTTATGACGAAGGCGACCGAAACCCAATTCTTCGTCAGTCAGAACGTCGACGCAGGACTGCATGCCAATGTAGTCCCCGGACGTTAATAGAGAGGGGGAGGTGGGCGGAGAAAAGTCGTCATCGGAGATCATGATATGATCAGATGGGGTTTGTTGGGGTTCAAGAGTGAGGGGCTTGAGATTCAATTCTAGTTATAGAGGAGGATGGGTCTGGTTATCCTTGGATTGGAGATCTGCATAGTGTTAGTTTTGCTTTACATACAAAGACTTTTACAAGTGTATATTATCTGTGACTTGAAGGTTGATTGGTTTATTCGGGAATCAGCTGAATCACCTGGATAATTTCAACCAAACAAATCAAATTAAGCATGTTGTTAGAAAGAAAAAAAAAAGTTGTAAAATTTATAATATTAAATAAATAAATAATGTAAAATAATAATAATAATAAAACTACATATAACCAATAAAAGACTATATATAGACCATAAAATTGAATCTTGTGCACCGTAAATATCATCCAATTACTTAATGGTCAATGGTCGTCATGATCAACGGTCACAACAACTCACAAATGCATGAATTGTCTGGCATCTACGAGGGGTATACTATTTTTGGTTGGTCAAACGAAGAAAAAAAAAAGTAAATTGGAAAAAGCACAAAAGAAACGAATACGCGTCCGAAAAGCTGGAGAGTCGAATATGAAAGTGAACAGGTCAGCATGCAAATATGGAAACTAGAAATCAAACACCAAGAGAAACCCAGAAACCCTGCTTCTTAATACTGCTAAGCATTGAGCTATAATCATAGTTGAGACAGAAAAATAAACGAACTATAACAGTGAACGGAGATATGAGTTTAGGATTATGATAGATTAAGCGTCCGATCTCAATCATAGTTGAGACAGAAAAATAAACGAACTTACGGGAGGACAAGAAGGGATGATTGAGGTGTAGGGCGTGTTCTTCGCGCAGTCACAAACACAGGAGGAGCAGGCAAAGGAGAAGATGGCAGCAGCAACAGCACAACTCATAATGGATATTCCACGACCACCGTCAACCAGAGAGAGAGAGAAACGGATCTAGCTCGTAATATTGTGTTGGTTTTTTAATAGTTGAATTTGGGAGCCGACATGTCTGCCTTTATTTCATGTACTAAGTGTTTGTTTGGTCGTTCAATGTTTCTGTCTGAGCAGGCAGGACGTATATGATGATGATGCTGTATGCTAATTTTAGCGACCGGGTTTTAGGGATATTAATGTGATAACCGAGTAGGGCTCGGCGCAATGTTGCTGGAGATATCCATAAATTTTGATTTTTTTTTAAGGTTATTTTTCGGAATTAAGGTTTCGAATATTGCAATATGTATCTGTCACATGCCAAATATGGAGAGTCCTGAAGATACGTACAACCTCATCATTGATATGTAGTCTTGTAATGTTTACATTCCTACTCATTAATGATTGGAATTTACGGGATTTAGGAGTATGGGTTTGGTAAACAAAATAGTTTTTTAGAACACAATAACGTTACGGCACCAACTTATTTATCAGCTTTTAATAATACTTCATCAATTCATGTGATACATGAAATGGTAACTCATTTAGTTAATTTATTAAGTTTTTATTTTAAATTTTTTATGTACATATGTGACGAAGTCATCGCGATACCAATCATACACAGCAAAACCCCACTCACACCGATGCTAATCGATCATGGCGAATCAGTGGTGGGATGGACATGTAGACCTACCATAAGGAGTGAATGAAAACTCAGCAGCAGCCAACATCTGTCCAATGAATTTTTTTTATTCAATTCTAGGCATCTCCATCAACAACATTACTTTCATTGAGATTTTGAAAGATTTTAAAGAAGTTTTTTAAAGTCCATGTGTATTCAATCACGATTTTTATAGAAGTCTATAAAATTCTTGGTGTATTCAATCACAATTTTAATAGAAGTTTATAAGATTATGGGTGTATTCAATCCAAAATTTTCAAACTCCATCCAAATTTGGATGTATTCAATTATAACTTTAAAAGACTTTATAAAAGTTTGGGTGTTTTAAAAAACTCATTGATTTTAAAAGAAATGCAAAAAGTGGTGGATTTTGATTGGTTTTAGACTAATTTTAGACCATGACAAATCTTTGCTTCCATAACGATTTTAAGGGAAAAACAAAAAGTGGTGGATTTCACATCCTCTCATCCATGACTAAGGCTGGGCACGATTTGATTATCATGCCATCGAGGAGTTGCTGACCATTGAACCGGATGTCGTCGTCACTACTTTTTGGCGAACCGTTGCGCGTGCCGATGAGATGAGAGTCCGACTTCAATTTGAGCGCTAAGAAATTGGTGTGGTATGATTTCAGTGAGCGTCAATGTTAGAGGACTGAGACAAATAGGCTGCGGCTTCGCGACTTGGAGTATAGGTTGGAAGAAGAAGAAGACAGAGAGAAGAGAAGAAAGAGAAGAAGAAGCCAAGGAAGAAGAGAGAGAGAGAGAGAGAGGTGAGTAAATACTCCAGACCACTACACTAGTGGGCCTTTGCGATAAGTTCCATGTTTAAGTTGTCAAATAATGGAAATATCAATTTTTCCTCTTCAATTCATGACCTTTAGCTAAATCTTGAGTTATTTTCCTCCATTCAAACGGGAGGTAACTTTTTTTTAATGCTTTTTTATTCTTTTAGAAAGTAATGAATACGATGATTATACCTATATTACACAAGAAGAAGAATTAGTCTATTGGTACTTGGACTTTATCTGAACATGAAGGCTAAGGTTTGAGTCCCCATCAGCGTACCAAAATTTTGCATTATTAGGCAATTACTTGGTGGTTGTCCAATTTGGGTTGTTGTTGGTTTAGGAAAATTTAAATCGGTTCATAGCTGGTTCGGCCAATTTTCCTATCAATTTCAATGGTATTCATTAAAAAACCAAACTAACCCGCCAAAATCAGTCCGGTTCATCTAGATTGGTTGGATTTTCGGTGTAAATGCCCGCCCTATTCATAACCCAGTTGGTCCCTTTGTTGTATGACCGAACAAAAATGTTGGTCTCTTGTATTTTCTGCCTTTTGGTCTCAATTGCAAATTTGTCTTTATAATGGGTTAGTTTTTGGTTTACATCTCCACCGCACAAGCCATCCAAGGGTCGAAAATAGAAATCTTTTCTGAATCCGCACCATGTAATTCTGGCTCCGTGCCTGCACACAACCTTCGACCTTTTTGTAGTTTCCACAGCCCACCGTCCATGGCTGCCATATCATTCACACCGCACGTTCAAAGACCTCCGATACCTTTACTTTCCAAGCCCAGAACCCTTAAAACCAAACCCAGAGTTTCAACTCAAGCTTCTCCAACCTCACAGCTGGCCTTATCAGACCCCTTTGTTCTTCAACTAGCTGAAGCTCTCGAGGACTCGCTACCCTCTTCTTCTTCTTCTTCTTCTCCTCCTTTACCTCTCCAAAATCTAAGAGACTCTTCCTCTGAGGCCCTCCTCTCAACCCCATGGCCTTCTCGCAAAGACGAGCCCTTTCGCTTCACAGACACCTCCTTCATCAAGAACTCCCAAATCCAACCAATCTCTCGCCCACCGAGCTTTCCAAGCATTTTGGAAGATACCCATTTCCCAACTCTAGTTATAGTTGATGGGTTTGTCGTAAATTTCTCAAATTTGACCGAATTGCCAAATGGGGTTTATGTGGGTAGCTTGCTGGAGCTCACAGAAGAGACCATTATGAAAAGGGTCTCTGAGTTTGTGTCTAGCAGTTGTGATGGAGACTTATTTTGGTCCATTAATGGAATTGGGGCTCCCGATTTGACAGTGATTTATGTACCATCTGGGTGCCGGGTGGACGCTCCAGTTTATCTGCGGTACTTTGCTAATGAGGGCGGAGATGAGGGGTCGAATAAACTCCCGTTATCGAATCCGAGGGTGCTTGTGTTGGCGGAGAAGGGAGGGGAGATTGGTATAATTGAGGAGTTCTTGGGTGGGGATGGTGACAAGTGTTATTGGGCGAATTCTGTTTTCGAGGTAGTGGTTCGAGAAGGAGGAAAAGTTAGGCATTCTTATGTTCAGAATCAATCTTTGAATGCTGCCCACATAAAGTGGACTTGGGTCCGCCAGGTTAGTTCTTGTTCTATCTCTCTGTTTCTTTGTGTTACATGTTCCATGGCCTTTTACTTTTGTATTGCTTGGATATCTATGAGGAGACTTTAGAAATGATAATTAGGTTCGATTTGTTGTTAGCATGGCATATGGAAGAATGGGCAAGAAACCAATAATTCTACAAATATATATGTGCATATAATTTAGTAGGTCTTAGCATGATCATTGTGGTATTTTGATAACCTGTGGAATGCACGAGAAGCCTTTTTTTATAAGGACTGAAGTTAATTAAAAAGAGTTTATAGTGTTATTATTTGAAATAATATATTGCAGCTAGTTCCCTTTATGATTTGGTTTTTGTTTATGAGTGACATTTGTTTTAAAATGCTATTTGATAGAATCTTACTTGAAAATTAACTCTCAATTTTGGTAACTGCCCATGATCCCATACCTCATATTTAACTTTTATCCTTCTATGGATCATGCAGTTCCCTTTGCATCAAATTTATGAAGTTGATTGCTTTTCAGGAATCAGCTAGTGCATATGAGCTTGTAGAGGTTAGTACTGGTGGAAAATTGAGCAGGCATAATCTCCATGTTCAGCAACTGGGACCAGACACAACCACCGAGTTATCAACATTGCACTTGTCTGTCGGTGATCAGACACAAGATCTACATAGTAGCATTGTCTTGGACCATCCTCGGGGTTATTCCAGACAACTTCATAAATGCATTGTGTCTCATTCTCTAGGACAAGCCGTATTTGATGGGAACATAAAGGTCAACAGGTAAATCTCTTTTATGACTGTCCAGGTTATTGTGGGCTTGTTAACTTTGCCTCACAATACTTTGTGCCCATTTCCTCAACCGATGTGACTTCTTTGTTCTTGGAGATTCTCAGCTTACATATGTATGTAGTTCCAAACCAAGGAATTAATTAGATGGCTCTAGTGTAGGGCAATGAAAGCCATGTTATTCTATGGGATTTTCTGAATAAAATTCCTGACAGCTTCCTAAACTTCTGAGGCTACCTCTTGTATCGTTAACTAGATTCTTCACATTTGCTGCTCACCAATAAGGTTGGACTAGGAACAGTGTATGCCTTTTACAAAATGTGTGCTTATATTTTGCAGATATGCTCAGCAAACAGACGGAGGGCAGCTGACAAGAAGTCTTCTTCTTGCACCTCGTGCAACTGTAAATGTCAAACCCAATCTTCAAATTATTGCTGATGATGTCAAGTGTTCGCATGGAGCTGCAATTAGCGACCTAGAAGAAAGCCAACTCTTCTATTTCCAGGCACGTGGCATTGACTTAGAGGCAGCGAGAAAGGCTCTCCTATTTTCCTTTGGTGCAGAGGTGATCGAAAGATTACCTTACGCTTGGATGAAGAAGAACGTAGAAAGTCAAATTAAAGAATTGTTGGATCCTACTAATAAAGGATCATAATTGGAGGTGCTAACATAGGTCATTGGCTACGGGAATTTTAACTGTTATTGAGAATCAAATAAATTTTGGTTTTATTTGTAACTATGGAACGTTTCTGCTCCATTTCATTCCCAAGCAAACAGAGACTGGAAATAAATTATTTTGATTTTTAATTTTGCACTGTAAAATGGTTCCGGTTGTGTCTATGTTGTCACATATTAATCATAAATTGAAGATATTACGTCATTTGAGATGCATGGTTGAAACTTGTATGTGTATTGATTCAAGAGCTTATTTGTGCTGATTATGCTTTTGAAATTCACATGAAGAATCCCTTACCCAGGGGTACCTCAGAGATTTATACAGAGGTATGCCTTGTCTTTGAGTTTAAAATCACTCTCTCTCTCTCTCTCTCTCTCTCTCTCTCTCTCTCTCAGCTGGATATACTGGGTTTTAAATCAATACAATCTTATCATCATTGTTTCTTCATGGAAACACAGATAGTTAAGGGATTGGGAGAGACATAGGTGGGCGCATTACCTGGACGTGCCATGAGCTTCATTACCAAAAGATCCAATCTAGACTCTCCAACAGTAAGACCAACTATTAATTTTATGATATGACAATATTTGAATCAATATTCAGTTATTTGTATGAGATCTATCCTCAAAATTTACTCTCATCTTATTGTGGGACAGAAGTTAAACGTGGTAGATTTCGTGAACCTTTGCATCTCAGACATGAATATGACTTTCAGGTTAATGGTTATCCAAGCAAGCCAATAGGATTATACAGTAAGCAGTCTATCATATTCGGATCAGACTCAAATGCTGAGGACCTGGAAGGATATGCAGGTGCTGGGTTTTATGACAGGTTTGTGCTGAAGTTGAATTTTTTAGTAAGCTATAAACAAAAAAGAGTAGCGTTTTCATAACATCAGAAAATCGCCTACTTTGTAGAAATATACACTGTTTGGAAGACTAGAGAATCCAAGGATGTTTTAAAATGGGTATGATGCTGTGCTTCTAGCTATGCAATCTTTCATGTTATTGAAATGGTCAAGTCCATGGTCTAGTCTTCCATGAGGATACTGTTCAGTTGTTCAACAGTCTCTTTGCCATCTCAAATCACACTGGGTCAATTACAAAACAAAGAGCCAATTTGATCATTTCAGCTTCGGAATTCTTATTTCTTAGCAAAGATGCACTTTTTAATGGAAGAATGTGGTGGAGTTTCCCAACTTTTAGTGTGTTAATATTTCTTTTGTCCCATGTTCTTAGTCATATAATGTCTCTGAACTTGTTGCAGCTTGTCATAGATGAAGAGGAGAAGATGCGCTCCGACTCTTGTCCTCTCCTCCCTGAGTAGAGTAATTATATTGTAGCTAACCCTACTAAGAAACCAAGGCATGAATAATTTATTAAAATAAATTTTAATTATGAATCTTAAATGGACACATAGACAAACTAGTGTGAGGAGCAGGCAAAAGAAAACAGGAACACTTGCGATCAAATCTGGGTACAGGGGCAAACCCCCATGAAAATTTCATTTGATTCCAAAATGAAATCCCTTTGGATTCAAAGCCATGTGACCGTGAATAACAATTTAGCTCCTCAGAGGCCTTAGTAATTAAGGATCCCATTGGTAAAGATTGGAAGTATGTTGTGAGCCATATTGTTTCTAATAACTACAATTCCTTCAAATTCAATTTTAGTTGCAAAGGAGGGTGGTGAGAAGTGGAAGCCTATGACTGATGTGGTTTGTTTTTGTTTTTGTTTTTTTTTTTGCAACTTCTGTGTATGGGAAATGTAAATAGGAGAAACTTATATGGATAAAGCTGCTGACGAAGCCATCAAATGCTTGATTTATATTTGCTATTTTTTCAGAAAAAAGGAAGCACAGGTCGAATGTCTTAAAGAGAAGAAACTTTTCAAGGATACAGCTGCAAAGCTTAAAGCAGATCATGAAAAGGCCTTTGAGAATAATAATGGTGGAGTTGGAGATAGAGTCACTTAGTCACGGGGCAGGAGATGGAGGCCATAACTCTTACCCGTTCTCAAGTCATCTATTTGTTTTACCATTGAGTCCTTCCATTTATATATTATCATGGTTTATGTTATTAAATTTTGGCAACATGTAAAACAAAATTCATCACAGTGCTCCTCTCGTGTATGTATGATGTATTCAATCAGCAAGTGTATGATACTTCCTACATGCAGGCTTGACAGATCCAATGCCAAATGGCCAACAAAAGTTTTGAACAAATTGGGGCCAATCCTCTGCCGCAAACCGTGTCTCACTATTGATAGAGCTATGCAAACATGCAGGGAGTTGATGATATTGCAGAGTATGAGATCAGATAACAAACTTAGCCCTATCTTGCATATTGCTGGCTTCTTCTTCTCAAATTGGGATATGAGTCTCTAGTTGCCTTCATTTTGTTGACAACAACATGCATCTGCATACGCTCAGTTGGTGATATTGCTTGCAGAGCATGAGAGTCCTATTTGCATCACTGAAACCAAGCAATCTTCCGATATTTTTGTTTGGATAGGGCTGCCATCCTGGTAGCTTGTAATTGGTCTTGCTCGCATGTCATTTTGGTATCTTCCATCATCAACATCAGCAACATCTCTTTCAATGAGCAATGAAGGGTCAACTATGTCCATGGCTGTGATTTGTTGAATGCTTAGACCATCTCTGAACATGTCATCTATAGGTCTTCATTGCACTAATCGATATTCAACCACTAATTCCAATTTTGAAAAATTCTAAACTTAAATGGCTAATTTCAAGCCCTAATATGGAATGGGGAGAGTTTTAGATGAGATGCTCAAGGGTTTTGGGTTGATGAAATTACCCCTTGCACAGTCAGAGAAATTGACAAGAATACTTACTCGTCCTTGAATTGTTACAAATACGAAACTTCAGAGTCAAATTACAATGTCAAAAGTAGTTGAAGTGTCAAACTATAAGGACCAAAAATGATTTTTAGCCAAATTCTTAACCATTAGGCATCCAGCTTACTTGAGATAAGGTTTTATAACTCCTAAGACAAAGCCAAGAAGTGAGATGTCGTTCTCGTAGGTGGCTCCTAGCCTTTCCCTAGGCTATTTTGTGTAGACCACTTGAATCTAATCCAAGAGTATAACACATTAACAACATTGCGTGAAACATTTCTCAACAAAATTGTATATTCCCATTACCTCCCATTTGTTGGTCAACGATCTCTTTTCAGTCAACCGCTGATAAAAATAACAAGGATCAATAGCTAATTCAAACTTAAACCCTAAGCTTTTTCAAACTTAGCAACGGTGTTGTTTGACCATGATATATTGCAATATCATTGGAATATAGAAATAAAATGTTGACTAACTAATAAATAAACACAGCAATATATAATGACACTTTCTTTATAGTCCATACGTCCAATTTCTCTGGTTCTGCAGAATCAAATTGTATCGGGTTCTTGGTTTCTAGACGTATAGTTGGTTCTTTCCTTTTTCTGCAACTTGCTATATTTATCGTAAAATCTCTTAACTGTTGCGCTACGTAGGTGATTAAGTTGAGAATAATACGTAAACCATAAACACTACCACATTAGTTGGGATTTAAATAGTTCATAAAACAGTTAGTGTCCCCTGCACAAATAAATTCGTGTAAGAAAGAAGACTAGAAGAATTTAGTTATTTGAAAAACCCTGTGATAATCAGCAGATTGAAAAACAAAAGCTTATGCCTCTTCTAATAATATTCTGAGATTTTAAACATTGGCTAATTAGATTTATATCGTGTGAACGACCGCACACTTACTAACTTGATTATCATTCCCCCCCATTGTTGACTTTAATTCCATATTAATTTTTCCATAATTCATCCTAACCCCTTCTGCAAGCAATTACAACTGTAAAGTATGTATTGATGAAGTAGCTCATTTGAATTCAAATGTTCTCCTTTAAACATTTGACTTTTTGAGATAACCATGACACTGCTGATCCTGTTGGTGTATTCACACGACGAAATGCATGCAGCAGGAGATGTAGAGATTGGTCTTTTATTTTATTATTATTAATAATTAGTATAAGTAGAGCAATCTTCATAGCCCCCAAACTCACAGAAAAGCATGGCTGCAGACAAGAATATTGGAGCAATGGTTCTTCTCCTTGTTTGTGGTATGTGATCTCCCACTCTTCTTCAACTCACCTTGTTATTATAAGTTTTTGGTAACACGCACGGCTATGTTGTATAACTCCTCCGTAAACATGTTATATGATGTAGCCATCCTCCCGTACAATATATAATATTATTTCTCGTAGTAAACTCCACCTCAACCTCATGACATGTGGTGTTTCGGTTATATATACGTAAAAATTTCATTTGTTTTCAATTTTGAATGATGTATTCTTCACTATATGATGAATCATCCATCTACGTTAAAAAAATTCATGACAGGTTCAATCCTACTACTGGCAATCAATCCAACTGAAGCCAAAGTTTGCAATAAGATTTGTTACGGAGCAGCTGCTTATATGACTTGCCCTTCTTCAGGCAGTAAGCAGCTTGATCCAGTCTGCAATTGTTGCTTAGCTCCGGCCCTGGGCTGCACCCTTTACGAATCTGATGGAACTCCAATCTGTACCAGTACTTGAATATGCTTGGAAATATATATATATATATATATATATATATATATATATACAGTCCCCTTCTATTGAGGGATCCCTCAAATAAAATT